TATTTAGAGGTGAGACTGAAAAAAAATAAAAAAGATTGAGCAATAAAAAAAGAATTTCTCAATTAAATTATTGAGGTAATTGGATCATCATTGGGCATGTGAAGATTTAGATGCTTATATAATTTATATAATTAATTTAAGAAAAATAAAAAATATATTCACCAAAAGGTAAATTACCAGAAGAGTAAATTAGAAGAATTTGACATTGGCATTACAATAAATGTATAAATCCAATCTTAACTTTAAACATAGGATGATTATCAAATAAAATTATTTCTGAATTAAATTTGTCAAAAAAATCTTAGACATCATTAAAAATAATACATAAAGTTTAAAATTATCAAACATTCTATAAATTTAAAATAATATATTCAGAAATTATTTATATTCACTTTAGTATCAAAGAAGTTTAAGTAAGATTATTATTATTAAAATAGTTTAGATAAAATTGGCAGATTTTGGATTTGTAAATTGTACGGAAGACGATCTATATTTAAAATCTTATTATTTAAATCTATTGATATTGGCTCCAAAGATTCTATAAAGAAAGCAATAGAATGAGATATGTAATGTATGGTCAGTAGGAGCTAATATTAACAATTTTATTAAAAGTATTTCATATTTTAAATGTTAGAGAAGAATTTAAAAAAAGAATTAACTGAGGTTATCATATTGCAAATAAAATTAATATTAAGTAGTCTGTTGCAAAATGATCTAGAGAAAAAACTATAATTTGAATGGATACTTGTAAAAGATGATACTGAAGTAAGGAAAAGTTAGAAAAATGATACACGTTAATTAATATAATGAAAATAAAATCATTCTATCTAATGTCACAGATCAGCCTGTTTTTTAAAGAGCTTGAGATAATAAAAATAACAGTAGATGAGTATATATTTATCTATAATTTCCATATTCTACTGCTACTAAAAATCCATTACCATGCAAGATTGAATTAGTATTTATAAAAGAAGGCCTAAAAGTATAAATTATATTTTGAAATTTATTGCTCAATATTCTATCTCTGCTTGACAATTCTTCATTTCCATCATCACATTCTTCTCCGTATGTCCAAATTTAATCTTTGCAATCTTAATATTTGCAACTTACTTAAGATACCTAATTAATCTAAACATGAAATACAAACTCCATCATCACTTTCAAAATAATTATAAGTACACATAAATTTTGTATTATTTAAAATTGGATTTAGTCTTTATTCTCAACTTAAACAAAGAAAGTAATTATCTATACATGTTAAGCATAATTGATAACATTAAGAACAACTATTTTAATTCCTGAAATCTCATGAACTGCAATTACATTAAAAATTCTTATCTAAGTGTAAATTAGATAAAGGTACACATCTTAACAAGCAGTTTTACTTAAACAAGTTTTACATGGTTGATTATACTTTTCATAGTGTCCAATTTTACACATAAATTAATTATTAGAAATTATTTCATAATTTGATCTACAAGAAATGCATTTTCCCGATAATTCAACACAAGTTAAATAATCTTAATTACATATCTCACATTTCTAATCCAATAGATAATATCCATAGAAGCATATATCGCAATTTGGATAAGTAAAGCACAATTATTACAATTATTTCCTTGATAATCTATACATTATTTATCACAACAAAAATCTCCTTTTTATTCAAACCCTTCTTTACAGAAACATTTATTATCTTGGACTATTTAATTTGGATCCAAGCATGTTAGACATTTATTAACATAATTAATACATGTAGCGCAAGGATTTTAGCATTGAAGACGAATAAAATTTTATTAGAGATATCCAGATTTACAAATACACTATTTATTGGAATCTAGGATTTGATTGATATCTATTCATTTGATACATCCATTTATATCACATTCAAAACAAGGTGATTCACACTTTATACATGTTGTTAAATTATTAGAATAATAAGTAGATTAGCAAACGCATTATGATATATTATTTAGTTCTTGATTAGCATCTGTAAAAGTTAAACATTTAGATGTAATATTGAATTATAATAACTATCTATAGATATCTCACAAGTTTTACATGGTTCTAAACAAGGTATGCAGAAGTAATTATCATCAAATATCCATCCATATTCACATTAACAAGATTCAGGTTATTAATGTATTTGATCTTTACATCTTACACATTTATTGATTGTATCTATACAACAATCACATGATAATTAACACTTGATACATGTGATACCATTTGTATTAAAAATCTAACCTGTGTTACATATGCATTAATGCAAACCAGTTACTATTTAATTAATATCAACGCATGATAAACAATGATTCTTATTTGATTCACAAGTTTAACATGAACTTTAACATTTTTAACTTTTTGAGGATCAACCGAAAAAAAGCCAAATTCACACTCGCATTTATAATTGATATCCTAACTTAATGTAAAAAGTAGAGATACATTCTGTACAATCATTATGATTATTTTCACACTTTAAACATGATGCTGTACAAAGCTAACATTAATTTGATCCATCACTATAATATCCATCCTTACGAACACATTAAAAATTAACCGCTATTTTATCAATCAGTACAATCATTTGAATTTTTGATACAAGCAGTACATGGGAATGAACAAGGATGACATTGAAAACTCGAAAGATATTTACCAATATCACATGATGTATAAGTAACACTAATTTGGACAAGCATAACAATTTGAGCCAGTTTAATAAAATTTTGGAAGGCAAAAAGAGCAATCACTCGAATTGCTACAAACTTCACATCCATTTTTACAAGTTCCACATTTAGAGACTGTAAATGAAGACAATATCAAATTAATTATTTCTGTATACCGATAAAATTTTGGCAAGCATGCGTCACACATCGAAGGAAGTGAACTA